ACGATGTCTTCCAGTTAGCTGTCGCCTGCTCTTCAATTAAGCCGAGTTTCGTCCAGTCTAATTACCTTTGCGTTTAACCGGATACGCGAGCCGAGTGTCCCGACACGAAACCAAGTTATCTGGCGGTATATGATCTTTGTTGCGATACTTTTGTCTTTTTGCGACAACGTGTTTGGTTTTCTTTGTAATATTCTAGATAATTAAGAATATATTTAAACAGCATAACTTGTAGTTTAGTTTGAAAGTATTTATTTCTTACTTTTGTAACGTGAAATTGAAGTAATCGTTGGCTGGAACAATGCTTAATGTGAAAATACTCACCGTTTATGATCGATAATTATAATTATTTATAATTTTAATATTTTGACGAGTGAGTCGACTTTATATAGTATCCTAAGAATACAGAAAACTAACTTTGTTAGAAAGTGAAATGAAGTTTGCGAACTTTGATATTTCTACAATTTGCTGGGGCCAAACAGTCATATTTTACGTTTGTGTTTCATAAAAAAAGCAAGTAAGATATGTACGTTTCAGTATGTCATAAAATACAGTTGATAATAATGTAAGTAAGCAAAGAAAACGCTTGAAAATTGATACTTAAGTGTGTAAAAAGAGAAAAACTCGCTGCAGAGGATCATGAAATAAGGATAAAGCTTGGGATTCAAAGGGCTAACGGTTTCGCAGCGTAGAGAATATGTAGAATGCAGAAGAAAAGGTAGATAACAAGGGAAGATAGCTCTCGAAAAGCTCCGAGGAGCACCGAAACTATCGAGAAAAGCTTCGTTTTTCTTTTCGTGTCTTATCTTCCGGCAGAAAGAAGCCATAGAGGAGTCGGCGAGGATAGAGCCGGACCGGAAACCGTGTCAACGAGGTCAAGTGTCCAGTCGATCGGAATGACCCTCGTTAAAAGACTTTAATTCGAGAAACTACGGGCCGCAAATACAGTGCCGAAGAATATGTACAATTGCTATCGACCGATTTGTCAATTTTCGTGTGCGGTTACCTCACCGTGTTCGTTTCCTATTTTCTCGCCTCGTTGCGCAACGCCTTAGGACATATGCGGGGTGTCCCATTTCAACCTATACATGCAATTATTTCCAGAAGTATTCGTTATTTCGAAAGTGGCAGAAATTCAATTTTTTAATTTTTCTCATTCTTTCCATTTTGGAGAAGAATGAGGAAAAGAAGAATCTTCAGAAACGTAAACAGTTTTGTTTTCATTTTTACTTATTTTACTTATTATAATTCGAGATACATTTTCTGTTTTATTATATTAAAAATCCGATCAATGTTTTCCATAGATTTAGCCAGTAATGATGTTTTACAGGTGGAATGATTAGATAATATTAAATTTCAAATTTCATGACTGTGCTGTATCAAAATAAGTGGCGACTGAGAGGCACCTATATAGTGCGAAGGGTTTGGAAAAATTGTCGTCCGATAAAGGCTAATCGATTTCCGCTGGACCAGGAGTCGATTATTCTGCAAACAGATGCGATCGAACCGAAGGAGGTTCAGTGACTTCCCTCGAAAAAGGGGAGAGGGCACGGAGGAAAGTTACTAGGATCGGAACCGAAAATATCTCCGCGGCGAATGACATTCCTGGATATATTATCTTCTTTAAATGGTAGTGCAACCGATGACGTGGTCGTCGTGTTCAACCGGTTTCGGAAGCAAAGAAAAGAGTTCAGGGAACAATGCCGGAGAAATCGTTTCTTTCGTTTCGTTTGATGCCCATACACGGCTTAACCGCGGCTTCTTCGAGTTCTATGGGAATCGGATTATTGTTTCCCACCTTGACAAATGAAATTTCGTTTTTCTTCATTTTCGTCGAGAAAATCCATGGTTTCGATAATGAACTTAACTTTTAACTCATTTCACCCCAACGCTTCCATTTGGGACATTGCACTTTTCCGTAAATAGATGCCAAATTTTGTACAACAATAAAATCTTACTTGGTAATACTATTTTTACACACTGTCCACTCCTTATTATTCCCGTTATCCCGAACATCCCGATGTCAATGTTTATTTCGCAATAAAAAGAGGCGGATGCGTCACGTCTTCAGCAATACGTTGAATTTCGATTTATGTAAAAATTTGGTCCTTAGTGGGTTAACCGAGAAATTTTCGATGGACACATTTTCAAATTGATTTTCGTACGAAAGTGCTTACTTAATTTATTACCTTTGTTTTACCTCCTAAAATTAGTTAATCAAAGTTTTCAAAGATAATCGAAGGAAACTTCTTTTCCCTTATTCTACCAATATTCGAAATAATAACGTAACAAACCAGACGCGTATTAGTTTTTTCATTAAATGGAATTATGAGTCTTGTGAAAGTATTTAACTTATATTGCAAATAAATCAATATTGCGAATAATTTTGCATCTTATTCAATTCTTAGCGGCAACATTTTTTTGTCTGATTCAACCTTTTTAGAATTATCAATAGTTTTCCTTACTATTCTAGGAAATGAATAGATCATCAACAGGAAGTTTTAAATTTCTTATTCCTCTTTATTGTAGGTATTTTATATATTTTATTTTTAAAATATCTTTCAATCGCGTATCTCACCGCGTTTGTTTCTCATTTGAAAAACAACGTTGAAAATGCAACGTACACGTCGTCGCGCGTAGATCCTGTTATATACAGGATAAAATGTAACACACTTTTCTGGAACTCGCCGGCGCCATTTTCCCTCCGCTACCTCTCTCTAGCAAACCATATTTTTCGCTCATAACTGTGCTACGAGAAAATGGCTCGTCCTTCCAAAAAGATGGCGAACGAGTATAGGGAACCATGGTTCCGCAGACATTTCAATCTCATTCCATCTTAGTTGCGATTCGGGCATCATGTTTGTTACGTCTCGCGCACACATTCGTGAACGAAACGTACAACAAATGGTAACGGCCTTTCTATCCCTTCCCACTTATTTATGCAAAAATATTGCATGCGCGTGTGTGTGACAATATATAAATGTTAAATATACTAAAGCATATTATTGCATTCATGTCGAAACTTATTAAAATATGGAAGGACGAATGACAGCAGTCATTAAATGCAAATTCTGAAACGTTAAAATTTTGAAATTTCAATTGGCAAATTATTAATTTAATATTCCACATTAATAACGTTAATTTGATTAATCCATTGAATCGATATTAAAAACTATAAACTGGTTCATTTTAGTATTTCAAAACGAATATGAACTTATCCGAGAAAATCTGCCACCGTACAGAATACCTGTTCATGTACTGTATCAACGAGATTTAACATTCTAATGGTAACATTTACTTACTTACTTGAGTCAAGTTCCTTGATTACATCCAACGACCGCCGAGATTCTTATTACAACTTGAACAAATATTTGCATTCGTTAACCAACGAACTCCGTAGAAGAGTTTCTTTCCCCGATTACTCGAGTGACTTTTATTCCATGTAAATTATGAATCAACCCCGAACAGGAAACCTCTCTCCGTCCACCGAATTCAATGGAATTCCTAAAGATAGCAGCTCCGTGTGCGAATCCCGTGGCCGAGACAGTCGTTTAGTCTTCCGCGAAGATTGCAGCGTTTCGGTTTCATAACTCAGCATGTCCTCGTGAATCTCCGCGTGCCCACCTGCTGAGAATTTCTTTCCCCTGAAATAACAGATTTCAACAGTTTATTGGCTCGCGCAGAAAGGAAAATATGTTGCTTCTTGTTTTTATTTTCATTCGAAATATACATTTCCGCGGCAAGCTTTCCGCACGTTTTCTCTTTTTCCTCGAAACGAGCATGGATATTCACGGGAAAGTTCATACGCGCTCTCGTTTTCATTTGAATGGGACATTCTGAAAGGCGAGATTTTTTTACATCTTAATTGACCCCTTGTTTGGTAACATCGTGACATGTTTATGATGAAGATTTCAAACAGGAATTAGCAAATTTAAACTTTAACTTTTTAATTTCTGAATTTTGTTTGAAAAGAAATATGCGTACAAGAAATTCTTGTGATTATGTGTATAATTATATAGAAAGGATTATATAAATACATACAGAAGTTGAAAAGCCTGAATCGTTTAAATCAAATATTATTTTACTGTTATCAATTACTTATCTTTTGGAATAAAGATGGAGCATGCAATTCTATTTTTTTAGTAAATTATTATATATGTAGGATAGATGCGGATTTCCACGTATATTACAAGGATGTGTGTATGTGAAAGCCGTTGGCGGGAAATTGGGCGATTAGTCGCGTCATAGTGGCGCAACGAAGTAATAAACCATTTTAAAATCCTCCTGAGGTATTTCTCTCCTTACACAGAATTAATTATCGTATGATTCTAAATTAATCGTAATTGAAAATTAATTGATATTAATATTCAATTGTCAATCAGTTTAATTCAGTAATGCATACAATTAATTGATATTAATCTTAAATTAACTTATTAGTTCTATTATATTATCAAAGATATTATTATAGATAGATATTTTTCTTACTCGTTGCGAGATATACTGATAAATATAGGTTGAGATATACGATTTTTAGCTTTTTATCGTTTCGTTCGTACTTAAACCGAATACTGATGTTACCCTTTGCGTTTTTCTGTTTCAGCAAAATTATCTCATGAACTTCGGATACTTGCCCCAAACGGATTTAGAAACAGGGAACCTTAGGACGGACGATCAGCTCAGGGACGCCATTAAAAATTTACAGGTGAGCGAAGCATTTCACGGAATAGTTTTCGACAACGAAAGATCGACACCGAAACGTGTGTCGAATTCAAGATACGACCGTTCGGCTGTTGTAAATTAAATGTGGAAGGAATACGTTTTATATACCCACCGAAAATGCGGGGAGAATACTGTATTTTATGTCGCACTCGCGTTCTCGACATTCATTTTTCTATCCGCGTATGATTCACGTTTACTGCTAGCTAATATTTCTTTTCTTTATCAAGATAACTAATAAATCCTTAAAAATATTAAGTAACTCCAACGAATTTCGAATTCTTTCAAGTAACTTTTTGTAACGTTCATTTAACATCTGAAGTCATTAGTGACGTTTAACGTTTAACAATCTACGGTTCTGCGTACAATGTGACGAAATTTTCGAAAATGAAATGAATAAACGACTTTTCAGTTGATCAAAGCACATAGACATTTCAAAGCATAAATTTCGAATTGTTTGCAAACCCAAATTTCACACTAAATTACATACACATCATTCGTGTTTACTGATTCCTCCAAAGATTCTCTCATTTAAAACGCGCCATAATAAACGCACTAAACGTTCGTATCCATAGCACAGAGGGAATCGGATCGTTTAGATCAAACGTCGAATAATCCATTCTCCCGTGAAATGGCTAAATTGTGATCCCTGGTAAAAAGAAAAAAGAAAAATGAGTTAGAGAGAGAGAGAGAGAGATGAAGTGAGCGCGAGGGGGACGAGAGGGGTGGATAAACGGAGAGAACGCGGCGTTGCGTCGAACACGAGATTAGACTACCGAAAACGTTTGAATGCGACTCTGCCGTTGAGTTTCCATTTCGTTTGAATGATCCTTTTTGATCGATCCATCGGGACAATGTAACTTTGACCGGGGCGGGGGGAGAAAGAGAGGAATAAAAATGACGGGAACGCCGGAAAAACGAGCGCAAATACACAATTGGGAAAAAAGGGCGACGCATCGCTCGTTCCCCGTGAATTTACATGAAAATGGAGCTCGTTAGCAGGAACCGTGCGTAGACGGCCGCATGCAACGACAGTAATACTTTCTCTAATCTTTCCGACGAATTGGATGTGCATCAAAATGGAAATCCCGTAATCTTCTTCTCGCGTGTCCAGAGAGTGTCTGTCCCTCAGTAATGTACAGTGTGAGGCGAAAGTAAGTGGACATCTCTGAATTTTCATTCGCATTTTAAGACGCGTTTTTGTATTAACTCTAGTGTGTCGTAAATCTATTTAAAATTTATTTTTATCTAATCGTACCATAAATAATGCATTCCTTAATACTTCTTTTATTTTTAACCCTTTGCGAACGAAGGTTTTCCGAAGTATTTGAAACCTTCAGCAGAGGAAGCTAAATAATAAGTTGAACTCTTAACCAGTTGGAGTTTGACGAGTATATACGTCGTCTTAAAGCTTAAAATGATACTAATTCTTTCAACGATGAATTCTTTATTTTTTTTTCAGATAAACATGTAATTCTTTTTTGCTTTGCTTTGGTTTTCCATGAAAATGTACCTTAGATACGTTCGTCCTGTTTTCAACGAGTACACACTTCATTTTTCAATTTTGACGTGAGATTTTTCAAACTAAATTCCACAATTAGATTAATTACTGGGGAAAAAGAAACTACGTAATGAGCTTTGAGTATTTAAATAATTAAATTAGTAATTTCTAATTCTGGATTTTAGATATGAAACTTTGATGTCACTAGTATGACGACATCCACCCTCAAAGAGTTAAATATTAGGGTAAACAAAATTATTTTCCAGTTTAACGTACATTCATTTTCAAATCTTTTCCTCGGTCATTTTCATTTTTAAAATTAAACCAATTAAGATTGTGTCCCAATACGCATGTGTGTATTACATCCCAAAATATATATTCTTATACTGAATGAATACGAATTCTCAGATTACAGTGGTGGCAACTTATTTAAATTTATTTAATGGAAATTTATTTATTTCATAGGGATAAACAAGGAAACTTGGTAATCCGATTTCTCTCTATCCCTTCTCCTCCATCGTCGGCTTAATTTCATTCAAAGGCACTTTGATCCTCTTATTCGACTATATACTCTTCTACTTTAAAATTGAAAACAGTGATCAATATAAGCAAAGAACTAATTGAAATGAATAATCATTAAAGGGAAGAAAAAAAAGAAGAAATTCTAACGTGAATTAGAGAATGTGTTTTGTGATTATATATATTATTTCTTGTTATTAGAAATTTGGAGGTATTCCCGTGAGCGGTATCATCGACGAAGCAACGACCAAATTAATGAAACTTCCACGGTGTGGACTTCCGGATGAACCGGATCCTAGGTACACGAGGATGAGGCACAAACGTTACACGATCCACGGGCAACAGTGGCCGCATCGGAATCTGACGTGGAGGTATTTGAGTGGTTCTTTGATACATTATCGTTTTATACAGGGTGTTTCAATAAAAGCAATAATACACGTAATAATTTAATTGAAATGCAATACAAATATTAAGTAAAAAGATAATAGGATATTAGGTAAAAATAGAAAAGTCTTTCCGTTTTTATTATACAACTTCGCATGAAAATAAAAATAATAATGAAATTAACAAATTAAGGAAGATAAAAAAGATAAACATATCTAATTAATAGTATAACCTTCGTCATTTTCAATGGACCTTTTCCATTTTTCAACTAGCTTTCCAATTTCTTCTTTGTACCAACGTTTTGGCTTAGATTCGAAATATTGAAGTTCAACGGTTCAAAACGCGAAAAGACTTTTCTGTATCCCTAGTAGTACACAGGTAATTAGTTCAAATACACAGCGGTGTATATGTTAACACTGTCTATCTTTCGAACACCTGTTAAATTAATCAAATGGTTCTTAAAACGTAACAGCCCTATCCTTATTTACGAAGCATTCAAATCGAATGCAGAATAAAAGAGACTAACAAGTACACACGGACGGTAAGACAATAGCGAGGACAGGAAGCAAATCGTGATATTGCTTCTGCTTATAAATGCAATCGCTGGTAGAAACAAATGTCTGTGAAGTTAAGATTCGAAGATAACGTGCACGCACTTGTCAGATTTTTCAATTTACTTTTCTTGAAAATGAAGCTTCCGTTTAAAGAAATGGTGTTGTTTCCTTTGCATATATCTTTACACGCTGAATTGCCCATTTATTAGCTGAACACTCGCAACAATACTAACATTACGAAACATTGTTTTCTCAACTGTCCTGAAGCTACAATTCAATCTCAATTTTTCAGCAATTTTCTCCAAACAAAAGCAAAAAGGAGCAAATCTCCAAAATATTTTCTCCCTATCAGCCCCGTATACATACCCGAAATTTTTACATCGAAATAGAGGATTCTTCCCTATCTTAATAACTACTACTTACTTTGCTCTAACTACGTTACCGGTCTCAAACGTGTTAAGATGAAACGAAACAAGTGAAAAATCACGCTTTCATTTCAATAACCACATTACCTGCAACGTAAGGTAACAGAGCCTAAAACTCTCCATTCTACACAAGCGAACCCTACAAAATCAAAGGAAAAAAGGAAAGTCCGTCTGCGAAATTGTTTGCTCGTTATGCTCCCCCGTAACGAACTTTCGTCGACACTGGGGGCAGAGGGTGGGAGACCGATGCGACTTAAACGAGAACACGTAGACGGTACGTGCATTCATCGGCGAAAGAGGGAAAGGTCTGGCGTCAGCGGGATCCATTCCAAACTGATAATACAGGGTGTTAAGCGGTCGGCGCGTTACCTGTTCCTCGGAGCAGGACAGTCGTCTACGTTTTCTAATTGGCAGTCGCTGCGTGAAGAGACAAGCCCCGATGGTAGAAAATTCTGTGCAAACGTGGCGTTAACTGCACGGAAATGCCATTGACATTGTTGGTAGCCGGCCAATGGCGGATCGGCCGCTCGCGGGACCGTTTCGCTCGGCATTTGGACGTGTACCCCTTTCCAACAGGGATGATGCAGTTACCAGCTGCGACGCGGCCAGACGGCCATCCGTGAAAATCGCGCTGATTCGCGACGTGACCAGAAACCGCCGTCCTGCCCGGTTTGCGCATCCTCTAGCCTTTTGTCCTTTGTGCCCGATATGAAGCCTGCGGAAAGAGTTTAGCCGACTATTGGCTGCGACTGTGGAGTAGCTATCGATTGGGACGTTGTTGCGGATTCTCTTGGATCTTGGCAAAGAGTGCCGACGAATTTGGAACGGAACGCTCTTGGTTGATGGTTAGAGGACTGGGGGTAAAGTGTGCATTGGTTCATCTTGATTTTCGGCTGACGGTGTTTGAGTCTTTAACTCGGTCTTTAACCGCTTAATGTACTGCTCCGTGACAGATACGGGCTCGAAGAATTTACGTAGCACCCTGTTAAACTTTACTAGTTTATTTGAATTTAAGATTATCACTGATTTCTTCTATATAAATAAAAGGCTTTTGTTAGGGTAAATTGAATAGTAATAATTTTATATTGATAATCAAATGGAAACGTGAGTAATGGTTGACTTGCAATTCATATGTAACGTTGCACATCGAGAAAATTTTTGCATTAAAGGGTTAAAGGTTTCGCTTAATGAATCCTGTTGGTGACTGTTTCGGCGATGGTAACATTTTGTTGAATGCTACGTTGCAGTTCTTGTCTGGGTGTTCTGAAACGTGTGGCGAACTGGGGTCGATGATCTTTTGAATATTATAATTGTAGGCAAGATACGAAACTGGGGCAGTCATAAATACGCTGATAAAGAATATATTAAGTAGCTTGAAAGTAACTCTGACTTCATTGAATTAAATTTCATCGAACTATGTGTTATCTTTAAATCTTTTGGGTTAATTGAATGATCTACTATGCATAGTAAATTCTGAAATATGGGGAAACCATGTTTCTCGTTTGAACGAATACTTTGATCAAACAGAAAAATTAGTTTTGTCCTGTAAAAACTTTTTAGAAATGTTTCAGAAATGTTAGGTTCGTTAGAAAGTCTTGTAGACTTTTTTATGTAAAGACAAATTTCACTTTATTAAACTACGCATCGTTCATTCTGCTCCGACTACCTTCCGATATTAATTCACGTCATTTATTAGCGTACAATAAAACAAACTTCACATTGAAAGAAAAATTACAAGAGCTTTCGACCACCCCAATATTATTCGGTTTATTAATTCAAGAGCAGGCATCTTCACAGGGAAATATTCGCACTCGCAGCAACTGAAAGTGGCACGCGATAACACGAATGAATCTGTATATCCGATTAGACAAGAAAAAGGGCGATAGAAAAACTCAATTGAGGGGGAGTAACTCGGGCGCAATTAATTTAATTATCTCGGACCAGTCAGTATTACACGGATATAAGGAAAGTCAAGGCTACGGACCTTTTCAACGATGAAACGATTGAACAGAGGAAGAAGGGGCGATCCGATGAAAAGAGAGAAGCTGTGTTAAAAGAAATTCATCTGAAATTGTACGCTTATCGAAATCTGCAGCCGACGAGTAGAATTCCTTATTTTAAAACGAGTTTCATAGAGACTGAAATGCACAACATTCGATGTTAACCTAATTAACGAAATATTGCCATTTGAATAAAAAGAAGCAAAATAAATCGTATTAATATAATTATACGAACAAATGTATTAGCGAAGAAACAAATACTTTTTTGAGATCTCCTTTTTGTCTCTGATTAGTTCCTAATATTGTTAATTTATAAAAACAACAACTTTTGCATTTAATCGATTGTAGATGCATTCAACTGCAGTACTTCGATTTTTAATGTTTCATGTCATTACTATCTGAATTTCCATTTTTCACGTAGATCCAAACAATTCATAGAGCAAAAACTATTTAAGCTGTTTCTTTTAACAAATTTTTATTCAAAATGAAGAACTAAATACAAAGAAAATGAAAACGTTATTTAAGTTTCTAAAATACAGTTGGCACTAGAGATTGACACTTGATATCAATACGTATTGAGCAATTTTCTAACAACTTCATTCGATATTGAAACAAGAACCGAACAGCCAAATATACAGCAAGTAAATTGAAACTCGGTGGATAAGAATCATCGGCGGTCCATACATAATTCCTATTACTCACAGTAAAAAGAAAAAGAAAAAGTTTATAAATACTAGTAAACCCGATCAGTCCGTTCACATTGCATTCCTACTTCCAAGAAGGGAAAATAAAAAATCTCAACAGAAATTTCAATTTCATATTCACGCATCAACGATTCAGTAAAATTGAATATCGGCGGGAAAATTGAAGATCCGTCGATACTGTAGTTCCCTATAGCACTGCGTTAATTACCTATCGTCGGTATTTCAGTGATACCGATCACCCACGACCATGCTTTGTGGCGCCCCCTTCGCCTAACATCCCATGATCCCTTGGAGCCACCCCCGCCGAACAATTTAACGAACATTTAAATGTCCCTGCAGTCACCAACGTAATGTAAACCGGAAGTTGTCGGTTGTACACTCGAACATTTAGCTGAAAATTTAAATTAAAACAGTTTACACCGGCTTGGGACAAATAAATTCGTATATACGTTTCCGTCACGGTAATCGAGATGAGGGTGAGAGAGAGGGGACATGTTGGGTGGGGGATAAATAATATGGGGTTCGTTAGTATTTAGACGTTCTAATTAGCAAGCGCGAGGGGCGAGCCATCGTTCGCCTTAATTGCGCGCCTTAACGACCGGTCTCGCCCGCACGAGGTATGTCGCAGGAAAATTTCGCGGTAATTTCGCCGGGATGCTGAGCGGGATGATGGTCCTCGAGAATTTAAGGCCCTCCCGGCACGGCAACGGGAATGAGAAGAGTTAATCAAGCTCTGTCAATAAAATAACGCAGTGAAATGATTAGTCTCTCGTCGGGTACATCTGCAAACGTTGTCGCGATCGATAGAAAGAAACGCTGGAGAATGTGTGAGTTGTTTACACTGGAGAAACCGACGCCATTTTTGTTTTTACATCTTTTTAATCTAGCGCTGTATACTTGGCACTCAACTTTTTACGCTTCATGTTGATTCATTTGATAATTAATAGTAGTAATTTAGTTAACGTTACTACATAATTAATGAAAGAAACGCTGGGTAATGTGTGCACTGTCTAGGTACGTTGGTGAAAACGATACCGTGTAAAAAGTTGGTTTTTCTTTTTCTTTCGGTGCTGTAACTGGGTACTTCACTTTCCTTGTTTGATGTTAAATTCATTCGATAATTGCTTTTAATGATAAGGAATGATCAAATTTTTTCTAGAGGTTTAGTATTTGTTGTAAATAATTGATTTTAGAAGCCGATGTGATTAGCTCCATGCCCTTAATTAAATTGCCGAAATAATGCGATTTAAGTGCATGACGCTTGTAACTACATAGATACGGATTTGATGCATTTATGTATCTAT